GACCTCCTTTGGAAATTTACTTAATTTATGTAATGCGTGGGCTTGTGTACGTTTATGAGTTGACAATATGCAGCAGAAAACTTGGGATTAGAAAATATAAAATTTGACCACCCAGCCTATAGTAAAGAATGTGACTCCTATAAAAGAATCTATATACAACTGCAGAAGAAATATGATTTTCCAAGCATTTACAATAAACATAATACATAGCAACGATCGCCGCAAATATTGTATCTAAATATACAAAGTTTTCTAGCAAATAAAACAGAACTCTGTTGGTTAATTGAACAATGGAAACCAGTTATTGTATTGTAACGCTCTTTTGTCCAAACAAAAGAATGCTCATAATCTGTGCTCGACTATGCTCAGTGGTTGTTTAGCTTGGGGAGGTCCTTGGTGTTGGTACAGTAGAGAGAGGCGCCACTAGTTTGTATAAAATTATTTTTATTATAAAAGAATAGCCAAACTAGGCATTGTTCAAATAGTTAGCTAGTATTTAAAAAGATAAATTTAAAAATCTGAAAAGGTAAAATAAATCCAAAATCCAATAGCTATCTGACATTTAACCCATTCAATAAAAACACAAGTTTTGGAATTCTAAAAACAATAAATAATTAACCAAAGGTCGAACTGTTGTTCTTTGAAAATTTGTTGACAAAATGGCGAACTTGTTGTTCATTAAAAATTTGTTCAATTGTTCAAAAGAGAATATTGTTCAGTATCCAATTTTTTTTAAAAAAAAATTAGGCAGCTTTCCAAAAGCAAAACTTAATTTAAATAGGTATATTAAAGATTGAAATTCAAAAACAATTAAATAAATACCCACGATGAAATTAACCTTAGTATCTATAAATGCGGAAGTCATAATACCATTAACCTTTAATTTTTGACTCAAAGTCAATCAAATCAAATAAAAACAAATTTATAAATGCAGAAAGGTAATAAATAATCCCCAGGGAGTTATAAATATCAAAAACCTGAAATTAAGGATATCGGGGAGAGCTCTACCGTCTTACCTGTAATTAAAATTCAAAATATGTAACCATATAACTTAACTTTAACTACCTAAAGATTTTACATTGGTTTACCTTGTAGAACTACCACTTTATTGATTTGAAATTAAAGGTTAAATTAACCTCTGAAGGTTAATGAATTCACTATATATTATATCTATCGGTACTTGATATGAAAGAAATAAATTTATAATAATTATAATAACCCATAATTATTAGATACTAGAATACTACATAATGATAAAGAAAACGGTAATGAAGGTAAATATCTGATTATGATAATGATTAATTAATTAAATTAATAATTATATTTAAATAGTAGTTAAGTAGCTATTCTAGCCAAATACGTTAAACGTCGGTAATTGATTTCACAAAGATATTAATTAGCTAATGAAGCTAAACGATAAGGGGCGATAGAAATAAAGATAATAATAAGTAACGTTAATTGATATGGCACATTTACGGGACCCATAGGTAAATAATTATACAAGCCTGGACGGAATCTTGTTAAGCCTCGGAGGTTTTCACAAACTTGAGATCTGGAAGTACCAAACTGGCTGGAGACAACCAAATAATGGTTGGAGATCTACTTCTTATAGGAAACCAACATTCCTTGAAAAGGGGGCCCAGATTTACTCTGAGTTGCAGAAGAGCATGGTCTCAAATTCGTCAATTTTCACTCAGAAGTGCGCGGATTTTTCATCCTGTCCAAAGTTGCCTGAATGAATTGAAGAAATATAAGGCCTCATCCATCAGAGAGAAAAAGGGATTTACATACCTGAACGGCCGATAGTTAACCTCACTTTCAAAAATCTTCACAAAAATCAACAATCTGTTGATTTTCCAAGAAACGTTCTAGCTGACACGATTAATCACTCTTCTGGCTAGTCCATTTTTAAAACTATGGGCTCGATGGCCAAAAATAAAGACAAAATTTTTTGATTTTTAAGATTAAAAATTTGGACGACCGTTTCGGTCCCACGACAAAAATAGAAAACGCAAGTCGAAAGTACCCAAAGTGGTTGTGTCTTTTTTTTCTCGGTCTGTCAAGCCTGTCGAAATTATAAAAATGACAGCGCTACAGGTTTCTCGGAAATAACCTTGATAAGAGAATTTTATTAGGTTAGGAAAACTAGTCAGAAGAATCATAGATGTCGCTAGGTGTACGAAATAGTACTTTCAGATGAGTCCAAAATATATGAAATTAATTAAGAACAATAAATATGTTGTTGTGACATTTCAAATGTTACAGTATGCCTAACGAAACGCACATTACTCAAGACAAAATGAAAGGGAAAGACACAGAGCGGGATATAAACACTTCAGTTGTAACTCCACAAGTCGGCACACAGGTGGGAGTATAATTTTTATAAAAAGTGAAATAAAAGCAAAACAAATATCTACAGTGGTAATTTGACACTAATCTATGGATGATAGGAATACGAGCCTCTATAGAGAGTTTTAAATATAACATTTTATGCCCATACCATTCTCCCAACGCTAGCCCTACTATATTTCTCCAAAAATTAAAAGATGTTCTACAAAATATATTGTCCCAGGAGGGATATCTTATTCTTATAGGGGACTTTAATATAAACATAGCAGTAGAGACACACTACTCCAAAAAGTTAGCAAACCTGATTACAACCGTCCGCGCTCATCAACATGTGAATAAATTTACTAGAGTGACCCAACAAGAACAAATTCAAAAACAACAACATATAATGTACACCTAACCCCTCGAATAACAGATCACGCAATCATAACTGTAGACCTAATGAAAAAGCCTAAACATTAGATACTAAGAAAAACTATAAGAGACTTCTCAAGGTTCAAAGAAACAGACTTAAGGATTAATGGATAAATCATGGAATAATAGTATTGAAGACATCAATCTAATATCTGAAAACTTGGTGACAAACATGCAAGAGATTTTGGATAAACATGCAGCCCTGAAAGACGTATCTATACCTAATACATTTGGAAATAAAAAATTGTGGAACAAATAATACATAAGACTGGAGTATTTTTCGGCAAAAAAGAAATAAGGTAGTAGAAATGACAAGAAAAAGCAAACAGAAATATTATCAGGAAACAATAGATGATGTGAAAAATGATTCCAAAAAAATGTGGAGTGCGCTGAAGGAAATAACAACCCAAAAAACCTCTTCTGCGACGTATGATGGAATCATCTTCAACAACAATCTAATAAGGGACAATAATCTCTTTCGCATCTGTATGTAGGTGATCTGTTACTGAGGAACAACATTTTTCATTCAAATTTTCTTATTTCGAAAAAAAACAGGACAAAAGCAGATAATTCAAACAAAGTAATTTTCGTTCCTATCAAGTTAGTTGAACCAAAATTTAATAACTAAGTACAATAAATTCCTTAGTGTAAGTAAGGCTTTAGTTAATTAAATTAAAACAGCTAGTCTAAGTAAGCTTCTTAAAAATTTAATTTACCAAAGAGTCCATTATCTTGATATAAAATAAACTTGTTATGTTTGAAATTTTTTAATCTCGAAATGTAAAAATGTTGTTAGAAAACTAAACAGTTTCAACATGAGAGTGCTATGTAGTTGGTATAGTGCCAGTCATTGGGCTTTCGGAACAGCTCCTATTTTTGAAAAAAATTGAATGATATTATCATGGTTATCCTGGATTAGTTCTTGTTACGATGTATAGAAAATGTATTAATATGGATATCGAAACCGCTCAGAATCCTAATTATCCAAGGATCATTACGATAGTCCAAATGAGTTTATCCGATTACTTTTACTTAGTATTCCAGTAAGCTTGCTTAGAATAAACAACCAAAGTTTCTATGTACCCGCGCTCTCATAATGAGGACACGTCCGCGAAATGTAAACTAGGCCATTCGTAGTTTACGTGAAATGTCAAGTGGACCTCTGCAAGGTTAAGAAATTTTACGTCTCGACGAACCAGATGGTGAAAAATTGAGAAAACTACTCCAGCTGGAAAATTTAAATTTCCTTCAAAATTAACGAAGGCACGTTTCTCCGCTATAGTTTTAATCAAGAACACATTTTCTACGGCTGATGTCTTACTATATTTCAAAAGAACCTAACTTGTTAGTTTTAGAAATAATGCATTTCAGTTGTAGTTATTGATATCCAGAATGCTGTTCAAAGCTAAATTTGGAACGTTGTGAAAACACATGATTTTAGGAACAACTCTGATGAGGTAGTTTCATGCAAAAGGAATATGGAATATCAACGGACATCTCATTTACGGTTTGCTCTGGATTATATTCCAGCCAAGCAACATTTTTGATATTAAATTCAATAATGTTCTTTGTTTTATTCAAACATCAAATATACGTATCATATAAGCTACACGTTTCAATAATAAATTCAATTCGATACCTGCAATATTGACTTGAAATAAATAATCTTTTATTACGACCCATACGGCATTTTTATGTATAAAGTTAAGAATTTATCGATATATGAATTTTCTTATGCCCCGTTTGCCCAAATAGAATATGTTTCGTTATTTATTTGTTCGTGCGAAATAAATTTTATTTATTGTGGTCTTATATCATTTTCCGTGATGACAATTTTTCGAGCTCCAAACTTGAATTTTTAAAAATTGTCTTCTGACTTACATCCCCATGTATATAAATATTACCACTTATTTATTTTAGGCTTTTAGCTCTCTCCTGTGACTGTCGCTGCCCTCCATTAATTTTGTAAATTTGAGTTTTATTCCAGCCATTTGTCAGTGTTATACATATTTGTCAGGAATAAGGAGTATAAATAAATTTTGAAATAAACTGTTGTTTTTTGGACTTAGTTTGTTTGAAAGGCGTTTTCATTAAATAAGAATTTGGTGCTTTTAAAGCCTTTTGTAGTTATAAATCCGTTTAAAAATGTATATATGTACGCCAGTGTGTGTAATTTGGATTAAATGCGAATTAGCTTTTTTACACTTGCCAGACAGATCATTATTATTATTACATTTGATGATAATAAGAAGATCAAAGTTCGTTCTTGTTTCGACACAATTTATATGCACCACACAAGAGTTATTGTTATTATCAAACATGTTTGGTCTCTTACTGATAGTTTTTGTGGTATTAATTATTTTATGGCACAAAATACGGACTCACCATTGGATAAAAAGGCAAGTACCTGGACCACAACCATGGCCGATTGTTGGAAATATTGCTGAACATCTTTTTGGTAGAAAAACCATTGGTCAGGTGATAAAGGAAATATACAGGTAAGAAACCTCAGAAATTAATGAAAAAATTATTAAACTGAATACAAACTCAACAGAAAAATCAAAATTTAGAATTGGAAAAATTGATATTTAATTTTATAGTTTTCCATCACTAATAAAAAAGGCAGGGTCATTTTCATAAATTTGCAGCACCTAATCAGCGATATTATTGTCTCAATTGAGCTTTAAGATATAATAGCTGTTTACCTTTTATATTCATCTCCTGTTTTATTCTAGAAAATATGAAGGTTATCCATTCGTTGGCATATTCAGGGCGACCCATCCTTGTTTGTTGGTCAGAGATCCGGAATTTGTTCACAAAATAATGGTCACCGATCAGAAAGCCTTTTACAATAACGAATTCAACATTGACAAAAAAATTGATCCGTTGTTTGGGCAAAATCTTTTCGTGTTGAGGGATCAAGATTGGAAGGACACCAGGCAAATGTTGACTGCCGGATTTACGAGTCTAAAGGCAAGAGAACTAGAGATTTCAGTTATTTTATTTTTGGTTCTACATGCAGCAATACTTAATGCAAGACTTTCTGATTCTGGGTAATCAATCAAGAAGAAAGTGTCTTTTGCAGCATGTAGTATTGTAGCATGCAAACAATTTTTCTATATCTAATAATCGTTTCTATGTAGATGAAATTTATGTACGAAAATCTCACTGAAAACGCTAGAAGATTAGTTGAATTTATCCAAAATCATCCAACAGCTGAAGATGATGGAATAGAAACTAGAGAATTAACAAAAAGATTTACACTAGAAAATGTAGCTTCGGCAGCGTTTGGAATCGACGGTAAATGTTTTGAAAGTTTTACGGAGCTGTCGGAATTTATGAAACTTGCAAACTCCGTGTTGGAACCTGAGGCACTTAGTCTTAGTAGAATACTTATACAGTTGAATGCAATTTTTCCAGTTGCAAGTTACTTCATCTCTTTTAGGTGAGTATCTATACAAAAGTAAGTAAAAGCAGGAATCGAGGGGTAAATCGGTGTACAAATTCGGGAAGTATCATGAGGAAATTCAAGGCAATCAGGGTACATCGTAAGGAAATCTGAGGAAATCTTAAGGAACTCAAAGCAAATCTTAAGAGAATCATGAGAAATCTTTAGGAAATCAGTCTTCTTCTTCTTCTTTGCGGAAGCCTTAAGGCTTGTTTTACCCATTTATTTGTCCCTCCTTGGATGCCGACGACCAGCTGTGCTTCCACCTCATGGCAGGCCGTCCTGGTAGTTTGCTGGATGCTGGTTTTCTATTTCTGGCGATTTTTGCCAGTCTGTGGTTTTCCATCCTGGATATGAAGCTCGTTCCTAGCGATCACCATGCTTTTTCTTTTGGTGGTAAATATTTCCATGTTAACTTTTTCGGCCTCTTTCTTAAATGAGCCATTGCGGTCCGTCTTCCGTGTCCGCGAATAGCGTTGCGTCGTCTGCATAACATATTATTTTCATTTGCTGGTTTCCCATTTTGTATATCTGGTCTATCTTGCATACTTGCTCTATTATTCTGTCCATTATGATGTTGAACAGTAGTGGACTGAGACTGTTTCCCTGTGTTTTGTTCTATTTTTTCTGTTGTTGTTAATTTTGTTCGTATTGTTGTGGTGTTGTTTGTGTTGAGCTTTCTGACCGTCTCCGTGATGCTTGGGTGTATTCTCCTGCGGTCTAGCTCGTTGCTAACGTCCTCCAGTCTCATCCTGTCCAACGCTTTCGTCAAATCTATAAAGCACAGGTATGCTGGTTTGTTATACTCTATTGCCTTCTCTACCACCTGCCTGACAGCGAACACTGCGTCAATATCGAACGGTTTCTCCGAAAACCCTGCTGCTCCTCGCTTATTGTGGTGTAACTGTGAATGCGTTGCTGCAGCATACGGGTGAACAATTTCATGGTCGTGTCTAGAAACGATATTCCTCGGTAGTTCGCCGGATCTGACGCTTTCCCCTTTTTGAATATTGGGATTTTGATGCTGTGTCTCCATCTCGTTGGTGTATTTTCGTCCTTCAATATTTTGTTGAATAGTTCTGCCAGATGTCCCACCAGAGCTTCTCCTCCGCACTTCAGCAGTTCGTTGGGGACGTTGTCCGGACCTGGAGATTTACCGTTTTTCAGGTGCTTCATTTCGGATATCACTTCCTCCAATGTGTATTGTTCTACATCCTCGCTGTTTATGGCTTCTTCTAAGTTCAACCTCCCCCGCTCCTTGAGCCTTTGTTGTTCCTGTTCGTCTCGGTTTATGTACAGGCCCTGAAAGTAGGTGGTCCATTCGGCTGCCGAGATGTTGTTTAATTGTACTGTCTCATTTATTTCTCTCCCTGTTGCTCTGATAATTTTCCATATGCGTTTTTGGGTTCCATAAAAGTCACTTTCCATACATCTACTGAAGTTCTCCCAATACTCTCTCTTTATTTCCCTTATGCAGTTGTTTACTCTGTTCCTTGTTTCGATGTATTTGATGTAGTGCGGAGGGTTAGCAAGGATATTTCAACATATTGTGCACTTTTTGATAAAGGCACCAAATTTGGCACAGAGGTAGACCGATGTAATATGAACAAAGTTGGGTGTGGAGCCATCGGCCAACTGCTGCCCGGTCTCCGTGGCGGCGATTTTCCAAAATGGCCGCCAGTGAACACCCCGAAACACAACAGAAGTTAAATAAAGTTTGCTGCTGAAGGTTTTAGTGAATGTTTATTGATGGTTTCAAATGAAAACATGCCTGAGAAATTGTTTGTTGTACAGGATGGGACACAAAAAACTTCCCACCTAGGTTTTTTCAGGTCTCGTCCCAGGCTCCAGGTGCTTAATCAGAAATTGCTCGGACACGTCAATTTTTGTTGGGACACATTTTATTGGTATTCATCCTCTACCTGGCAACCCCTAAGCGGGACCCGCAAAATTTCAAGTGGAAACGGGGTTCGAGTGATACAATGTACTATTTCCTAACTTTGTCACAATTTTGGCAGGAAATAGTACTAACTCAGAATTTCGAGGATGTATTCCTAATAAAAATTTCTATCAAATCACGTATCACTCGACCACCCTTTCTGGTTGAAGTTTTGGAGGTACCTGTCACCCCCGCTTATGGGTTGACAGGTTGAGGTAGGGGGTGAAAATACCAATAAAATGGTCGAGCGATTTTTAATTAATCACCGCAACACCTGAGAAATCCTAGGTAGGAAGTTTTTCGTGCCCCACCCTGTATATACAGGATGTTCCACGACGTTTCACCCAGGTGATAACTTCGGAACGCGTCATCGAATGTTCCACAATGTAATTTTTTATCATTTTCTTTAACAAAGCTTTAGGAAATATGGAATTGCCGATTGGGTAATTTAATTTTCTAACGAAAAATGATAAAATACAATCAGTTATATTAAAGCTTCTAAAGTTGCCGTCGCCTGACCGAAACTGAAGCGAAAGTGGTGAAATTGGATGACGCATGTAGAAGCGGCACAAAAGTTCACCAGTTTTTCAAAATTTCAATTTTATTGGATGACGCATTCCGAAGTTATCACCTGGGTAAAACGTCGTGAGACACCTTGTATATAGGAACAGGGCGGGAGACGAAAAACTTCCCACCTAGGTTTTCTCAGCGGGCCCAGAAGGCTCTTGGACCTTATCCGAGGTCCCATGCAAAAATAATTTTACAGTCAAAAAACATATGCGTACGATTCTTAGAATATTGTCTCACGAAACCTAATTATAATCAAGAAAATACGAAAAATATGGAAAAATTTGCTGACTTACCTATCTATTTACTACCCACATTTATTTGGAAAATGTAGGTATTCCGCAAAAAGTAAAATCGCGATCGGTAATGATAGCTGTTAGCGTGGAAGATGGAAGGCGAATTCCACAAAAGAATTATTTCCAGGTTCTTATGAGTTAGGGACGGCTTATTCACCTGATAAACTATCAGGTATTCAATCTGACGGATATAAACGCAATCTTTAAACCCATTGGTCGGTCAGCTATCCGCAGACCAGAATTAAAGAACGGTCAATTCATCTTCCAGATAGTTATCAGCAAGTGTATCAGAGGATGAATAAACCAGGCCTTAGAACCAAATTATGGACTGACTGGTAACGTCTTTGGCAAATTTATTCTGCTGGTAAAATTGAAAATTGAATTTAATATTCAGTTTTACCAACAGGATAAATTTGTCAATGACATTACCAGTCGGTCCATAATTTGGCCTTTAGACAAACAGAATATCTGCAATATTGTAATTGGGCCTCGCCAAACCACTCTGCCCCCGGGTCCAAAATCTGAAGTTAGGCCACTGCCTACTTCTCAACCTTCAAGCGAAGGTGACAGCCGACAGGTACCCCCAAAATTTCAAATAGATAAGGAAGGTCGATACGTCATTTGATAGGAGGTTTTATTAAGATTACCTAAATCCTCGAAATTTTAAGTTGCTACTACATAGTTACAACCATTCCGGCTAACTCAATGGTTACTATCCCGACGATAACTCATCCCGGTTGGTATGACCCCAAAACGATAACCTCGTTTAGAGAACCTTACTTGACATGCAAATTACTTTGAGGGTGGTTTAAGGGCGTAAAACTAATAATTGCAATTCATCGATAAACGGGTTCCTGGTTCCTGTGAAAATATGGACATTTTACTCTAGCCTCCAGTACAAATAGTACTGAAAGTTATAGACAGTACGCACGCATACACATTATCACTATCTTCATTGAATGCCCGCTTCAGCCCCAGTGGTTACTGTTACTATCCCGATGATAACTCACCCTGGGTGGTATGACCCCAACGATGACACCGTTTGGGGAACCTCACTTGACTTGCAAATTACTTTGAGGGTGGTTTAAGGGGGTGAAACTAATAATTGCGATTCATCGAAAAAACGGTTTTTGTGAAAATATGGACGTTTCCACCTTAGTCTTGGGGACAAATGGTACTGGAAGTCATAGGCAGTATGCACACATATACATTTTCACTCTTTATTGCACGCCCGCTTCATTCACCCTGCTAAGGGAATGTTTATTTTAATATAGTTTATAGAATTGCCTCACCCAACGTTGTAAATTTGTCGCAATAAATACAAGACCTTATTATTATATTCATGTGTCTTCTTTTGGAGTTATCTGCAGGCTGCAGGATTTACAGAAAAGATAGAAGGAATCACTTCCAGCATCTGATTCGATGCCTGATCTCCATTGTAATAAGCTACCTGGTGCACGTTGCCCCTCAACCACAATAATCCTGAGGGTGGCGCCCGAGGTAACCGTTAAAGTAAGAATAGGTAAAAATCGAAAGGGCGTTACAAAATTGGCGTCCGAGAAATTGCTGGAAAAAGAAGTTTCCACCAGAATTAGTCCGTTGACCTGCATTTGTTTATGACCTGTTCAGGGTAGCCGTTTTGTTTTGGTATCCTTTGTAAAACCCGGACTCAAGATGAAAGGAGGCAATAACAACGCTGGAGACCTGCCAGTTATGAGTGCCCCAAATACTATTGCACAGATGGTACATATTTACCCTGCCGGAATTGCGGCTTGTAAAAGTTAGGAAATAGAACATTGTATCACTCGAACCCCCTTTCCATTTGATATTTTGCGGGTACCTCCTCCCGCCTCCGCCTAGGGGTTGACAGGTCGAGGGTGAAAAGACCAATAAAATGTGTCCCCGAAAAAACAAAACTTGACGTGTCCGAGCTTGTGGTCCGAGCAATTTATTCACCTTACACCGGAGAAAACGTACGTGGGAAGCTTTTTGTGCCCCACCCTGTATTACTAACAAACTATCGGGCATGTTTTCATTGAAAACAATCAATAAACATTCACTAAATCCTTCAGCAGTAAACTTTATCTAACTTCCGTTGTCTTTCGGGGTGTCCACTGGCGGCCATTTTCGAAAATCTCCGCCACGACCGCCGGGGGGCAGTTGGCCGATGGCTCCACATGGAAATTTGTTCGTATTACTTCGATCTTCTTCTGTGCCAAATTTGGTGCCTTTATCAAAAAGTGCACAATAGGTTAGCTAATCTGTCGTACTAATGGGCTTTCTTGGAGTCTTGTTGGCTGTGTCTGTTAGGTGGGCTTTTTTCTTTTCATGGGCCAGTATCTTCACCTCTGGTTTGAACCATGGTTTATTATTTCTGTGTTTTGTCGTTGTGTTGACTGTTCTCTTGCCTAGTGCCTCCTCCACTGTTTGGTTTATGTTGCTTAGTAGAGTGTCCCATGCGACGTCTACTGTGTGTTGTTGGAGTTATGGTCTGATCCGAAGTTTGCCGATGTTACTGATCTAACATCCTGTATTTGCCCTGATTTAATGGCTCTATTCGTTATTATATAGTCTATTATAGACGTTACTTCGCTATTGCCCTGAAACGTAACTTTGTGTTGGGGTTTGTGTTTAAAGTATGTGTTGCTAATCCTTAGTTCCTGGTAAGCGCAAACTTCAACAAGTTTCTCACCTCGCTCGTTCACTATCTCCTCATTAAATCTATTCTTGAGTCCAGGTATTACCTCGTTCCCTATTCTTCCGTTCAAGTCGCCCATTATTATTATGCCTTCATGTTGGGGTATTGTTTCTATCAGCAGTTGGAGTTGTTCGTAGAAATCGATGGTCTTCTGAACCGTCTTTCCAGTATCCGGTGCGTAAACGGATACTACTTATATGAAGAGTGTGTTTGTCTAGTTTCAGTGTTACTTTTATTATTCTGTCGTTTGTGTACCTGTCGGTGCACAAACGTCGGTTATGGAGTCCCTGAATTTTTGGTTGATCAGCATTCCAACTCCTGACGCTGCTCTTGTGTTTTTTGATTTACCTGAGTAAATGAGAATGTAGTCATTATATTGTTCTGTTCCTTTTCCTCTCTTTTTTGTTTCAGATATGGCACATATGTCTATTTTATGGTGCTGTAGTTCTAGTAAGTATAATTTCTTGGTCCTTTCCACTGAATGATATTACGTTCCAACATACCAGCCTTATTTGCTTTTTGTGTTTGTTCCGTCTCATTTTCCTTGGAAATCAGTCAATATCTAAATCTAACGCATGTGCAGTTTTCAAAAATCTTTATAATTTGAGGCTATGTTGTAATGGGAACTCTTGGGCAATATCTTACTGGTAATCAGAAGAAATCAGGGTAAACCATTGGAAATCATTCATGATTTTTCCTAAAACTGCAATTTTAAATCTTAAGGATCTTGGGGGAAATCTCGAAGAAATCATCGCAAATCTTGAGGAAATTAGTCAATCTCGACTAGATGTAACGCATTCCCAGTTTTCCAATATTTTAAATCCTGTAAATGTTTCTAATCCTAAAAATTTGCTAGAAGATTTTAAAAGGAGGAGAAGAGATTTTAAAAACTGTAGATTCTTGCCAAAAGTTGCCGCGATATCGTAAAGCTGCAATAACGAGTCAAGAAGGAAATCATCCATGATTTCCCCTAAAACCGTAATCTGGTGTACGAAAACTAACACGCGGTTTACCCTTCGGCAGGAGGAAAAATTTGTATATCAAGTAAAAATCTATTTAAGCTTATAGAATGCCATCGAAAGAAGCTTTGTAATAATTGACTTAGCATTCGAGATGTTTTCCTGGAAAATTCGAGCAAAACTTTGGAGCTTAATCATTCAAAGTCTATAGAAGCTAACGGAATTGTTTCATAAAGCTTTATAGAAAATCAAATCCTCTTTCAAATCTTTAATTTAAGTTTGAATTGTTGGGAAAGCATGAAAGCGCAAACATTCTCTGCGGAAATTTCCTTTTCATTTCTGAATTGGTGAAATTGAAAAAGTAAAAAAAATAGCCCGAATAAGAATTAATTTGGGTGGAAATTTTGGCTTTCAAGTTATTAAAGCTTAAAATTCGATTTTTAGGATAATTCCAAAAGAAATCGAACAAAAACTAGTCCAAATCGTATCAGACGTCGTAAAATATCGTAAGGAAAATCACGTGCAAAGCAACGATTACCTCCAGTTTATTTCACAACTGGCAAAAGAAAAAGGTTTTGACGATACTGAAATTACTGCTCACAGTGTAACGTTCTTTTTTGACGGTTACGAGAGTTCTTCTAACGTTTTCACGTATTTACTATTGAATTTGGCGTTACATCCGCAATATCAGGAAAAAATTCGTGAGGAAATTAGGAAAGTCGAGGAGGAAAATAATGGTGAAATTACCTATGACACTTTGAATGAAATGAAATGGTTAGATGCTTGTTTTTATGGTAAGTATAATGTTTGAGAATATTATAACTTTTTCAAAAATATCATTTTAGAAACCCTTAGAATATCTCCTTTTCTGGATATCTTAGTTAAAAAATGCACTCAATCATATAAATATACACCAGAAAACCCAGATTTTAAAAAGTTGTCGGTAAAATTATATCCAGGAGACACAGTAATTATACCATACAGTTTGTTAATGAACGACGAAAAATATTTCGAAAATCCAGACAAGTTTATGCCAGAAAGAATGATGAACAGGGATAACATTAACAAAGCGATATTTTTTCCTTTTGGTAGTGGAGCAAGAGTGTGCATAGGTAAAATTTCAATTTAACTTTCTATTCCATAAAAAGCTCCTTGCATTTAAATCAGGCTTCTTTTCTAATTTCAGGTCAGAGATTCGGATTAATGCAAATCAAACTCGGTGCAGCTCAAGTTATTAAAAACTTCCAGATTTCTCCGGATCCCAAAACTAAATTACCTATAAGATTAATCCCCTTTAGTTTCCTGAACGAAGTTAAGGGAGGCGTATTTTTGAAATACAAAAGAATCGAGAGAAAAAACTAAATTAATTAAGACTTTGAGATGTTTTGAGTTTTTGGCTTTTCAAAATATTATCATTAAAATATCATATAAATTTAATAAATAAATTAGAGCGTCGTTTCTTTGATCTACCATCCACAAAAACGTTTCGATCTTTCAGATGTCATCAGGGTGGGGTAAAAATTAACTTTTCTCTAAAGTTTGTTCGCATCAAAGTTCTGGCAAAAATTTCACTACAGGATCTTGAGAAGTTTGTTAATATTTCCATTAAAATAATAAATTAAACCGTTTTCAACAGAAATTTATTTTACGAAAAAATCCGCATTGACTCCTCTAAAATCGTTTAGCCGCTTTTACTGTATATTTACAAAAGGTTCTGGATTTGATGGCATCACCGATAAAGCGCCCATTTTCTACGTAAAGAGCTTTGAGATAAATCGTTACATGCAATGCATACTAAATTATTTATCCTCGAATGCGCTGCAACTTTTTTTAAAATGAAGAACAAGTTCGAAAGAAAACGCGGAGAACGAACCATACAAATTAAGTAGCGAGATGTTTTAGGCAAGTCAAAGATTTTAGCATTCATCGAATGCCATTTTACTGGGATTTATTTGCCATGTCATCTTATTCTGGATTTTTTCAAATAGTATTAGGTTTTGAGTAAATATCTACATAGTAATGTCACGGATTCCGGGTTCACTAAAACTAAAAAACTAAAAGTATTTTCCTTGTTGGTTTGAATATTGTTTTTATGTTGTGTTTCTTCAAGACTTTCCCTATCCTGTCTGTCACCCGAGAGATGAAAGGCAGATATGCATTAGCCACCACTGGTTGTTCATCCACGTTTTGTCATGTGGCGGTTTTGGGTCGCATGGCCCTATCGATTTCAGATTTCAGATATTATGGCTCGCAGACGTTCCGAGCACGTTCTGTTAACGTTGTTATACTTCCACGTTTCTGCCTTGGATGGTGGTTTGAGAGTGCATGCAGGTACCTACCTGTCTGTGTGTGTAGGTTTTCGGTACACCGTGTGGCTTAGTTTTCCTTCAGATTTCTTTATGAGCACATCTAAGAAGGCGATTTCCTGGTTTTTCTCCTTTTCCATGGTAAATTCTATGCTAGGATGCTGCTCGTTCAGGTGGCATAGAAACTGGTTAAGCTTCTCTTCCCCGTGACTCCAAACCACAAAAGTATCATCTACGTATCGAAGCCATACCGTTGGTTTTTGGTCAAAAGATTCTATAGCTTTCCTCTCGAATTCCTCCATAAAGAAGTTGGCTATGTTCGGGCTGAGCGGACTTCCCATAGCTACACCGTCCGTTTGCTCGACTGCTCGTAGAAATCGCTGTTCCACAGGAAGTAACTACCAGTGAGACATGTCCGGAGAAGCTCAACTATGTCATTGGGGAAGGTACTTGATATCAAGTCAAGAGATTCTGTCAAGGGCACTTTTGTGAATAGGGACACGACATCAAAGCTGACTAAGATATCGTTAGGTTGAAGAATAATATCCCTAATTTTCCGGACAAAATGAGTGGAGTCGTTGATGTAAGAGCTAGTTTTTCCTACATGCGGTTGAAGAAGCGATGCAAGATGTTTCGCTAGGTTGTACGTTGGTGCTCCAGGTGCACTCACTATAGGGAACGCGTCAGTCTGCTACCAGAATCGGACATGGAAGCACCTCTGAAGATGCTAGCCACGCGTGCTAGCGAAACGTCAGGAAGAAATTCCAACTTACGACGGCCATTAAGCCCAAATGAAAACCCCTTATCAAACCCCTTGGCACTATTTTTTTTCAATTTTGTCAATGAACTTCAATGTCAAAATGTCATGTCAAAATGTCATGTCAAAAATCCTGACCAATAAAGAAACAGTAATGCGATATACGTTTTCGTATTTAAAGCAATCTTTGATAGTCCTATACATGAATTATATATTGTCTAAAGGTGAAGCATAAATCTTGGCAATACCACGTTTTAAAACAACATTGGTAGATAGAGGTACTAAAGGTCTTGAATTGAAAACAGATTCGATTTGAATGACAATAGTTAGAAGTGATTCATATGTTAGATTTGCATTTCCCATTATCCTTTGTAAATGATATTTCGCTGACTTAACACATGCCTCTCATAGGCCTCCAAAATTGGGACCATATGGTGGTGTAAAATGCCATGTGATTTAATTTTTTTCCAAGAATTCTTTGAAAATTGAATGTTGCGTTATTTTTTTTTTATAACATCTTTCAAGTCATGCCAGCACCGACAAAATTGATATCATTGTCACTGTAAATATTAGCGCAAATACCTCTTCGATATACGAATCACTTCAAACAATTCAGGAATAACTGTGAAGATAAGTCCGCTGACAATTCCAAGTGAGCAGCCCTTGAGGTGAAGCATACAAAAATGCACAGATAACACTTAACCGTATAGTTCTTTTTTTAGGTTTGCCATCCTTCACAAGAAAAGTAGATACTGGACCAGTGAAGTCATTGCCCGTAGTGAAAAACGGTCTTTGAGGAGTAACTCTCTCCTTTGGTAACTCACCCATCTGATTATTTAAAGAAATTGGATTTTCTCGAAAACAAACAACGCATTCACGAACAACCTTTCGAACGTTATGATGACCATTAATGAACCAAAAGTTTGATCTTATAGCTGATAATGTTGTCTGGGTACCAGCATGTAAATGCCTCGAGTGCTCATGTCGAATGACTAAGGTCGGGAAATAAGAGTTGCTAGGAAGCAGTATAGGATGTTTGCCATTTAAATCCAAATCTGAGAATTTAAGTCTACCTCCAACTCTTGATACACCATCGGGGTATTAAACGTAAAATTTTGCTTTTTTGTTTGAGAAGTAGAGCATTTGTGAGACATTTGATTTCGTCAGCAAAATAATGACCTTACATAATGTAATGATAGCATTATTCAGTTCCTGCTTGAATAAATGATCTGTTAAATTTAAAACTGTCATTTTGTTGCTTAAAATATTAATAAATCTCAAACAAAAGACGGTGACCCTTTGAAGTCTTGCATGTGAGAAAAAATTATCAATGAAAGTATCGTCATGTTTGAGTGCACTTAATACTGTTTGTCCATTTTGTTTGAGTTCTGGTGGATTTGGTATCTAAATTGAAAATCACGCATGGCCATTCCCATCTATCATATTTTAAAAATTCAGGGCCAAACCACCAAAGTTTGCAATTATGTATTTTATCTGGATCTATACCTCTATATATTGTATCAGCAGGCTTTTGTTGAGATGGTAAATGCTGCCATTGTTCAGGAAAAGTTGATAGTTTAATTTCTGATGTTCTGTTTGCCACGAAGATACTTAGTTGGTTAGGTTTTAAAAGCAAGCCATGATAAGACTATGCTGGAATCAGTCCAGAATTATGAATTTTTGATATGAATATGCTTTATAGTACTCAATACCTTTAGGGATAACCTAGTAAGAAGCAAGACTCTACATAATTCTAAACGTGGCAATGATTGAGTTTTTATTGGTGCGACTCTAGATTTAGCACAAAATAAGGTCTTCAACATTTCCAGAACCATTATAAGATTTGAGATAACAACAAGCTTCATAAGCCTTTTGTGAAACGTGAAATTCTGCTGAATTGTAATCAGAGCAGTAGAAATCTTGGAATTCTTATTTGATTCAATAGGCAAATCTTCTCACAAAAATGAGTCCATGTTTGGTGTAGATCCATTGGGACTCTTTCATCCCAACTGCCATAACAACTGTATAATAATTTACCTATGAGCGTGCGGTAAATTGCACTTTACCGCACGTATTTGCAAATGGAAAGTATCACTTTACCGCACACTATGCGGTAAAGTGCACTTTACCGCATAGTGTGCGGTAAAATTAACTTTACAGCATAGTATGCGGTAAAGTAGAATACAAAGTGTGCGGTAAAGTGCACTTTACCGCATAGTGTGCGGTATAGTAGAATTTGATATTTATAATAAAAAATCCTCTCTCTTTCAGAAAATGGATTTTTGATCATTTCTAAATCTTATCTAATTTCATTAATTAATCTGATTCATTAATTAATTTTATCAATGCCTTTTTTTGGGGATGTAGATGCTCATAGGTAAAATTTTGTACCTAACACATGCGGAAAGTGCCTTTACCGCACTTAACGGCTTGACCGGACTCCGCTTCGCGTCGTTCGGTCAACTGCCGTTGCGTGCGGTAAAGTATCACTTTCCGAATTTGTTAGGTAAATAACTATTTTGCTTTTATGATGCACAGTCCAACAAGACCCACGGAATCAAATATTTGTGCAGTAATAGCTAAAATAGATTTTTTAGCTACAGGCAGTGTTGTTCCTGGAGAAATTTCTAATGTATTGAAAGCGGTCATGCAATTGTACTGTTTTCAGGGCCAATTGTACTGACGCGGAAAATTTGAAATAAAACATTGGGTGTATTACGTTTGTACTGTATCTTTATTCCTGTGATGACAGGGAAAAATAGATCCGTTATTTACAATGTCTTAATAGTAAAAATTAAATATGATCAAATAATCAAAAATTGTATCTCCAATATTTCAAATCAGTATCAATGAAACAAATTAGCGTTGACCCCAAATTTATTAAAATACGTTCAATTAGGCACTAGCTGACGTCACACACATAACCTCACAATGACATTTTTGTTCCCCTATAAAAAGTGTCGATTTTTGACGTTAATAGCTAGCGCCCGCATGTAAAAATAGACCTTCAAACGCTTTGTTTGTCCCCCCATCGAAAGTAGAATGTAAGGTTGTGTATAATGTCAGCTACTGCCTAATTTCTAATAGCCAGTCATCAGGCGTGTGTCATCAAGTTAGTTAAACTCATAAATCAAAACCCGGAAAAGATTAAATATTAGGTTGGGTACCTAATTAAATTAGGTCCCAAAATGACAGAAATTTTAAAAGATCGCATAACGACGGCACGAGTTCGGCTTTTCCTTGAATTAAGTGTCCTCTACATTCTTTCCCATTTCGTTGACCCCAAATAATCATACAATTTCGACACAGATTTCGTCATCATCCGATGAGCAAGCTAGATTTTTTGGAATAATATCTAGGTCGACGGATAGAATTGAATTACAGATGGTCAAACGACCGCCCATATTATCGATTGTGGTGGGTAAATAATAGTATAAAAGGGGCAATCATTCAAGTAGAGAGAATCATCAATCAATTATCGAGAATTAGACTCA